GTGAACATCCCGATCCACCTGTTGTAGATAGTCCTGTAAAGCTAACACATTCAAACGTTTGAAGTTCCAGCGCTTGTTGCTAGTAGGATATCGTAGCTCCATCTTGCTGACAAAGCTGAATGATAAGACGGCGTGATCACTTTTCCCAGGGGATCCAGGATTGAGAGGTCGTCAACTAGGAATTCTTCATTTGTGAATACCCAGTCTAGGCGCGACGGCGTCTGACTGTTTCTCCAACGGGTTGCCGACTTCACATTTTCGAATAATCCCAGGTCGCCGATAAGGTTGAAGAACAGAATCAGGATATGAGAGAATCCGAGACGCGTAGAGCGAGTTAATCCTTCCAGCAGACGTTTGTCATACTCGATGTCGGCAGTGGGCTTCCTGTAAATGACCCCAACTAGACACCTCGAGGTGGTAGACAATCTTACTGAGCACCATACTTACTCATCAAGATTGAGAAACTCTTGGTTGTGAAGTTGGTGCGCATCCAGGCATGACCGTATGTATAGTGCTACACCACCCCCATTCTTGTTTTTCTGTCGTTGCGAAATAAAGACATCCCAGTTATTGCTAACTCCTGGTTCGTAAACTGAGACGTTATCCAAGTTTCGGATATTCCTATCAGATGGGCATCATTAGCGTTGCTAAGTTCACGTAGCTCATCCATTTTGTTTGGCAAGCTCGCGGCATTCGTGTATAAGCAGTTTATGCTTTCAATTTAGAATGTGTGAGCTACTTCCTGTTTGTCTATATGAGGCGTGCGTGAGTGGACAGGTAGCCTACTTATACGATGTTTACCGAGTTGGTGGTCTCTGTCCTTTACACGTTTTTTTTGATCGAGACAGTCCACGAGTGGAATTGTCAGCTCCAGCTTTCGTTTGTGCTTGATCCTGCTGTCGTGGGGCCTATCCGGATGCATATGGATGCCAGTTGGCAACCGACGTCTATTGGCACGAAATGCTTCCAGAGTTGCAGCCGCCATGTGGGAGGAGGGGAAGGTTATCTTCAAAAGCCGGGGCCTAGAGTCTCCTTCTCTCTTGGCTAGTCGCATTACCTGTTGAGTCAATATGTTCTTGAGTTTTAAGGAATGCTTAATGAATTTCCGTTCCCGAATATCAGAGTTTGCTTGAGTTGGGTCCATATTTTCCGGCACACCTTGCACAATGATATTTCGTCCACGGAAAAACGCCTCGCGAGATTCCTTAGAGATGTTCCGGATGAGATTTTGTTCAGAATACGGTATGTCTGGCAGTATTCTTACGTTTCCATCGGACTGGCTAGCAGTCATTGCCATTGTCACGGACCAGGCATTCCACGTATTCATTCTCTCCACCAAGCCTGTTGGGCTATGGAGACTCAAATAATTCTTGTGAATTCTAAAATTTAATGAAGAAAAACGTTACTATATCTAGGAAACTTGTTTTGCACAACAAGCTACTTGCAGCTGAACTTACGGTTATATCCTTGAACACGAAAGACTCTACCTATGGATAATGCAAGAACAATAATCACTTTAAAGTCGTACATACGTGTTCTTTCTTCCGTCGGTGACGCTTCTGTACTTTGTCTCTCATGTCGTGAAGATAACTTTGCGTAGCTATGTCCAATATCGTACGATATTGGACCCTAGTTGTCCTTCACAAATACTGAAGGAGTTTATTATCGTCCTTCAAAACCGTACCTTATCAACCTCTAGTTTCGACTGTCAGATTGCCTTGATCCCACTCTTGTATTATTTTTAATTGTCTTCAGTTATTTGGACCACTGAATATAGGTGCACAATGAGTGCTTAACGAGTCGTCCATTCACTTTTTTAATCTTTATTTTCTCTTCCAGATTCTCTCGCATTTCCCTAACACAAGATACCTCAAAGCTATAGCCTTTTTGTATAGATACAAAGACCCACCAAAAGCTGAAGGTTAAACTTTAATGTCTCAAAGTCTCTGGTTTCCACTTTTAGTTTTTTAGCTTGGTAGATATAAGACTAGCCATATATTGCTTTTAACAAATTTTTCGTGTTTGGTATTCATTTGATAAATAAAAAACCCCCACCAGTGCCACCTTACTAAAATGAATCCTGTGTAGTCTACAGTGAATACAGTGTTACATTGGCATGAAGAACATGGATACCGCAGTTTCGAATCTATGGGATTGGAACTAAACATTTTTTCACACGTGTATTAGTCCTATTGATTGTAAACGAAAGTCGAATACATTTCGATGTTTTCCCTTCAGGGACCAATACTTTCCCAAAATGTCCAGTAAAACTACAGTGTGCTGATAATTTTGAGAGACCAGTCAAAATGCAAAATTTGCGAATTCATTTCAGTTTCAGTTTGGAAAGGACAGGAGGCGTGATGGCCTGTGTTAGTCCTGGCAAAAAGCCGTGGCGCCCGATGTCACATACAAGGATAAGGTCGCAATAGGTAAAGTATTTTGACATAGATAAGCTGAATTTCCACCTGTTAAAGGGTTGCGAGGACTAAAAATTTAAACGACCTACTATCCTTATAACAGGAATCTGAACAGTGGGTTGTTTCTTATAGTCTTAGAGAAATGGTCGGGGTAAAAATCCAGGTTAATGTCAGACGTTAAGGTTTAGAATTATGGTTGTTTTTTCCATCAAGATACAAAGTTATTGATGATCCAGCGTTTAGATTTTCCTAGCTCCTCTACTAGAAACCCTTGGCTTGTAGTCATAGTGATGAGTTTTGTAGAAATATACACGAGACAATATTGTCTCGCCCATAGAGTATTGTATTACCTCAAAGATACCCAGTCAACTTTGAAAATCCTGCCGACCGACATATCTTTTATTTGTTTTCTGGTATTTTTCGTCGAAAAAATAAGAGATTTCACGTCATTCTAATAACCACTGATATTTGTTTCTCTTCTTTTGTCTAGTCATGCCTGTAAATTTTCGGCGTCTTCATAAACAAATCTAGCAAATGCTGCTCATTATTAACCTTAACCATGACATATTGCAAGCTGTCCACCGTTGTTTCTTTAATTTCGTGTTAAGTCCATAAGCCTCTATATTCTAATCAGTTCTGTATACCACACCCTTGCTGATCTATTTTACTCGACTTTGTACATATTCCTAGGCAACTTGAAGTTACTCATTTGTCACTAACCAACAATTGGACTAATCCTTTGTGTTAAATTTCTAAGGTCGTATAAGTAACGTAACTTTATGACAATACCAAACGCTTTGGTAAAGGTATTGAAGATAAACACTTCTCATCGTGCATGGAATTTGTCTCTTTTTTTCTCGTAACAAGCGATTTTCTACTCATTTTATACCAATTTGAAAGCCCTGTTTAAAAGTTGTCGGTTCCCAACCCTTTTATCATGGGTTTTTCGAAATCTCCACAGTCACTTTTGAGTATAAACGGTCTGGTGGATCCTGTTTGAAATCTGATTCATTGGTTGGGTTGAGTGCATTATCTTTTTTATTCACCAGTATGGCCGACTGAATGACATTTTAAGTAAAGTTTTCAAAGACCAGCTACGTCACACACAATAATATACTTGCCTGTATTTAGTCAGAATCCCATTTTCGTAAGAGAAAGTTAGTTGACATCATAATTGGGGTCACAGTACATCACAAAATATTTGCTAGCCTGTCGTTTTCAAAGGACTGAGCAGCAATTTATTCAATCCGGTGTCAAGTGCTACCGTTCTCGCAGTTCGAACAAGGCTATTGTTATTCATTAATAAGGTGACTTCCCCTATATATAAAAAGCCACTAGTTGCAGTTTGCTATTATCAATGTCGTACTTGATATTGTACATGCTAGGTCATCCCAAATCGTCTGTACTACCCAACTTGTTTTGTTAGGTAATCGCTAATCCAGAAAGCTTTTAGTTGTGCTTAAAACTCTGGATCACGACTCCCTTGATATTTAGACAGAATTTCCTTTATGTTATATTTTATCCCTTCGATGATATTCACTTATTTTGCAAGGCTACTGATAAAGTCGACCAGATGGAGACCAGCACTATCCGGCCCCTAAAGCCCAAGAAAAAAATGTAGTGTAGCAACGTATTGTCTATTAGTTTCCAGTTACTGTTATCGTTTTATGAAGTCTTTGCTCTCCTGATTGGTATCGGATTTTCAGCCCAAAATGCTTTTTATACAAACATGTAAGTTTATATAGTACAGAGACCGATTCCATTTAATTCTTCGCTTGTAAGAAGTCCCTTTAGATTGCCGAATGGTGCTCCTACTTTTCTAGGTAGTGTGTAAGTCATCCTCTGGTATGTCACGACGTAGAATTTGTCATGAATACTTATCACTCCAAATTGGCGCACATACCTCAACCATCTGGGTGGATTGGAATTTTGTAGCCTCACCAACCTACAATACATTTTGCACAGCAACTTAACCTTATCCTCAATACTTCGTAACCGGACTTACAATGCTGACTAACACTAAGAAAAGCAGAAACATGCAGATCAAAACATTAGATCGGCATATTAATTTATTAACTGTTGGTCCAATTTGCGTCCAAATGAGTAAGCTTCTTGATCAGGGTCTGCCCAATCAGCACAATTTATAGTTAGAGGTTGTGGTTCAAAACCGATTGCAGTGATGCAATTGCATTTACTCCATATTTTACAAATTTGATATGCCATCCCATGAGTTTTCTCGTGAGTTATTCTTTATTATTTTTGAGATGAACTTCTTACTTCTAGTTTTCTGTTGCCACTCACATATGCTCCTAATCTTGGCAACTTGGAGTGATACACATTTGTGACTGAATTTGACTAAACTTTACTATAGTTTCGAGACGACTCAATTTTATTTGGGCATGAATATTTGGTGATAAGCCACAAAATATACAGTAGTCAAGCGTGATCTATTATGAGAACTTAATTATTGAATAGTTCCGTGTTCACGGGTGCGATCCCAAAGTTTATTATTATGTAGTGGTAATTATATTGCATCTTAGCTTACAATCGTCTTACAGATTTTATAACATGATTCCCTAGGTAATGCAGTGTACCAGGTTGGTCCCAAGTTCTTTAATTTCTTCCAACAAATCACAATCAATACGAACTATCAATGTAGCAATGGGACCTTTAATGTTTCGCCAGAAAATTGCATATAAGACAAGATACCACTGGATGTTAGACTTAAAAAAGAGCAAAGCTCGTGCAAAATACCCTTGGATTCCCAGGTACGGCATCTTAACTGCTAAATTTTAGTTTTCAGAGAACCAACAACATGCATGGAAATATATGGTCAAAAAATTATTTCTCCTGAAACACACTTGGATTTTATTGTACCTAATGACTTAGATAAATGTGAACTAAAACCTTACGTTTCATGGCGATCAAAGCTGGTTGAGGAAGGACCACTAACAGCTGAAGTTTTATTTAATAACAGATATTCACAAAAAATAACTGAAATGTTTAAAAATGGTGCAAGTAATGAAGAAATTATGGAGTACTTGAAGAACACGAATTGTTAATAATAAATAACTGAAAAAATATTATCTTGTTGATTTGAACTGTATCACATTTTGTAGTTTTGCTGACTTATAATCGGTTCTAAGTTGAATGAAGTTCATCAACAAATCTCTTGGCATTCCTGACTGCAAATAATCTTGAACAACTTGTTGTACGTTTTCTGGCTTAATTAGCATGAGATTCATCAGCTTAAACAGTACATCAAAAACAACATTAACAGTTGGACTCTCAAAATGCTTTGCAATTTCTCGGTAGGCAGTTACATCTTGCATCGCAACAAATCCACCTAAAAACAAAAATAAATGACAATTTAGTTCACAACTTGTATACAATAACATCTATTTTAGAGCAGTAACTAAGTATGGGAGTAATATGTCTTTTTGCAGAGGTGATTCACTCTGTTATGTTTGGATATTCCATAAACTTGACAAATTAGTGTAATTTAGGTTGTCTAATATTTCCTGGCACCACGGTCAGATGTTCAAAGGCTAAATATAAAGTACCGAACAATGTACCTTTAAATAAGCTACTCAGTTACACCTGGTAATAGCTGTAATTCATGGTAAGCGTTGTACTGATGTTCGATTACATTTAAGGTTCTGCAAACTGCTGGATTTTCGAGAAGTACAGACCTGAGTTAATTTGCTGCACGAACTAACCTCGGAAACTTCGAAAATTCTCATGTAAAACTAAACATACAGTGCTTGTATATAACAAACATATGTGCGGTTCTCGCCTTTTCTGGAAAATAAACTTAACAAACTTCGTCATCAGTTAGATCGATCACGTTTTGTGGATTTATTAAATTCCTTGATATATATATGACAGCAGATTAAAGTCATTAACTTCTGGTCTTAGCGATGTTGGTAGATTCAGACTACTTGGTTGGGGTCCGCGCGACTATTGTAACCAGTGGTTGGAGATTCTACGTGGCATGGCTCAGAATCGATCACAATGTTATAGATGTAGGCAATCTTTATCTGCCCGTAAACGACGAGATTAAAATTGCTTTATACCTTTTTTTCTCTGTGTATCATATCCTTATATGCATTTTTTTGACATATTACTATCACAGAAGTAACTACTTCTGTGAATCTGGTGTTCATCTTGTTGTGCTAATGAGGTGTGGCAACTTGGAACAACGCATATATGTGCCTGGTCCTACGTTGTAGCTGAATGACTGACAGCAGAGATCTCAACAGACAAAATCTTACAGCATATGATTCTAAACATTTAAGAATTACATAACCTGAGCCATAGTTTATGTCTCTACACACTCTGAAAGTCGTAATGTATCAGCTACTTCAAGTCTGGTCAACTAATAAATGTATTGATGAATATTTCGTAGCATTGATAATGTGAAACAAAATTAAGGATACACTGTAGATAAAATTTATTCCAAAGAAGGAACGTGTAACTGTTCTAATTAACCATCCTCTATGATTCGTCCTCCCTTTTGTAATTTGATACACATCGCGTAGCCGCACTCAATATCTGTTTAACTGAGAAATTGAAAGCAGAGTTATCATATTCCAGGATATACCTTCGCCTGTAGCTCTTCTGGAGTTACTGCCAGTCCCAAGCTTAGACAAGGGAGAAGGGTTGGGTATGGGGTCAACAACCCTATCCCATGCAAAACAACCTTGCTAAGAAACGCTAACCAGAATAAACAAGTTAAACCACTTGAACACTGCTTTCGGAGTTGACCGATTTTCACTCAGAATTATGACGCCTCGTGGTGAAAGTCGAGATTCTCCGGAAGTTACGATATCAACGTCCCTTTTGACAACCAGAACAACAATTGCTATAGGTACATGGAATGTCCGGATAATGGGGGAGACTGGGGGGGGCAGTCAAATAGTTACGGAAATGAGGAAATACAACTTGACGGTTCTCCGAATCAGCAAAACTCACTGGACCAACGCTGGATAGAAAGGGATAGATTCAAAATAGATGCTTCTGTAGTCTGGGGAAAATGCTCCACACACTCAGGGAGTTGCACTGATACTATCCAAAGAGGTACGTAAAACACTTATAGGATGGGAACATTATTGATTCAGAATCATCAAAGCATCTCTCAAAACAAAGGAGGAAATCACAACGAGTGTTATTCAATGTCATGCACTCACCAATTACAGCAAGGACGACGATAAAGATCAATCTCATGGAAGGCTTCAGTCGATTATAGTGAAGTGCCCACAAAATTCAAGAAATGAAGATGAAGACAGCAATTAACAACAGCCGAACAAGAGCAGAGGGAATCAAGGCACTCGATAGTGTGGATATGAGAAACTTATAGGACCTTCTTCGATACTTCAAAGTGAGCAGTTGAGAAAATCGTCAACATCATGTGGAATTCATACGACGGACTACACTGCAAAGCCATGCACGGAAGACAGCTGATAGATACATTCCAAGTGAGAACCGGAGTCAGACAAGGCTGATTACTCTCTCTTTATTTTTCTGGTGGTTGGCTGGATGATGAAGACCTCTACATCTGACGGGAAGCACGCAATACAATAAACAGCCTGCATGCAACTAAACGGTTTGTACTTCGCTGATGACCTACCCATTCTATTCCATACACCCCAACCAATGCAGGTCATGACCACCAATGCAGCAGAAGCATCTGCATTAGTAGGCCTCAACATAACCACGATTTTTAAATACAACATGGAGAACATCAACCCAATCACACTTGATGGAGAATCTCCGGAAGAGGTGGAAACGTTCACGTACCTGAGGAGGGCAGCACCATCGATGAACAAGGAGGATCAGATGCAGACCTAAAGGCGAGGATTGGCAAAGCGATGGCAGCATTCCCACAGTTGAAGTACATGTGGAACTACAGCATAACTTCATAGCTTGACATTTTCTGAAGAGGAAGAAATCGTACATATGGGACTAAGCTTTAACACTTGGTTTCAATCCGATTACATTCTGTCAACATTTTCATACATAAGGTTTTTTGAAACCGTGAACTATGTACTCCAATTTAAAAAATCAACCTCCATCTCACTAAGTTTTGAACTTCATTTGTTCTGAAAAATTCTTTCTTTATGCACTGACGAAGTTATTAGACCCGAGTAAAATATACAGTGAACTCCTTATTCTTTAAAAGGTTAATGATTTGTTACATCACACTTTGATTTACGTGAGACCTTTACTCAGATGGTGGGAAAATTTATGACAGGGATGAGTTGACTTCTTTTTGCAACCAGTGAGTCGTTACTATAAAGATTTACGTGTCTTTTTGATCGCTCCACATGAAATCAATAGCTCTGATGCACGAAACTAACTCATTGAGTTTTTCAAATTAATTTCGAAGAGGAAAAGAATTCTATAGTAAGAATAAATACTTACCTGTGTCAGAGAAGGTAAAGTTGTAAAAATGATCTACTAATGTGCGATTTAGTTTCATTCCAAATTCATGTAAAAATGTTTTTAAATTTTGACCATCTAGATGTTGATGGGTTTCACGGTTGATGTGGGTTATGAAACCAACCACATGTTGACATGCCTAGCATGCAGTTAAGAAAAATAACATTTAGCAACAACTCAGTATTTCATACTGATACAAGCTATGTGATAAAAAAGGGTCCGTAAAAAATTTGCGTTACACAAACGAAGTGATAACATTATGGTGAAATAGGGAAAAATCGTACAATCAGTAGATAGATGAACAAGTGTAGCATTTAATAAAAAATACTCAGATAATTAAAGTAACCTACTGACGAAGTCAGTAAGCTGTACATTCACATATACAGTTGTTTGATAAATATAAGAGTCTATAGAGGACATTAAATAGGAATAATATATTTGTAACGTTGGATTTAATTTAAAAAATTCATTCGCTGAGATTTTACAAATATATTATTCCTATTTAATGTCTTACTTCAACTCGGCGCTCAAATACTGTGAAACTATTCGTTCTAATTTAGACGAGAGTTCTTATATAGTCTATAGAGGGATGAAAGAAATCGAATTATGAAGCAATCCGAGATTTCAAGTATCAAAAGATGGTTGCGTAGTGATCAATAGGTTGAAGAAGAACAGGACGAAAACAATTTATGGATCAGAAACATAAGAGGCAATTTTCGACTTAACAGATAATAATAATTGAATAATAATCATGGAAAATTGTTAGAGGATAGTAGTAACCGATTACGGTTTAAAAAATTAGGAAATAAAACCAAAACACTGGAAAAGGAAATTGGAGCCAAGAAAGGATGAGAGGTTGGTTGCATCGTTTTTGCAAGCAGAAATTGGACTACAATTGGTGGATTCCCAACGCCTCAGCATTACATAGGTTTTTGATTTGAACTCCTGTCAACCAAATTCCTTTCAACTGCATGGATTGTTTTAAAAGACGCCTCCTCTAGAGAGACATAACCAGGGTTGACCAGGTGTTCCTATATTGAGCAAGTGGTAGCTTTCCATTCCCCTTTTAAAAGCTACGACGGGTAATGTTCTGAGATGTGTTTAGAAAGTGTTTGCTTTAGGTGCCCAGTGTAACTTGCCTTGCAAGAGTCAGTAAGATTATAGATGCACATCGATATGGCCCAAAGCGGGAGTTTATCCTTAACACATCCGTGAATGGTAGAGCGGCTTGAAAAAGCAATACGAAGCTTGGCTGAATAGGTTTAATTCAGGGATTTTGGAGACCGTTTATCCAAAATTTCGGAAACTACATATCCCCTAAATTCGATATTAATAAAAAAATTTTTTAGAACCGTCGAAGACTTTTCAGGATGTTGTCTTAATATTAAGTTTCTAGCAATGAATCTATGTGGATAGCTATTTCTAATGAGTATCTGTCGAAGTTGAAGTAGTTCGTTATCTATTGTACTATGACGGCATATTCGCCTAGCCCTCGAGGATAAGGAGTGAATTAAATTTCTCTTTCTGCTTAATGGAACCGAACTATAGAAACTAGTATGTTGACCATTTGAGGTCGGTTTTCTACATATAGATTTTCGTAAGGAACTATATGGCCTTTTTTCAACAAGACAACAGAAAAATGAGGTTCTGCGTTAACCTTTGGTTTTAGTGTGAATTTCTTTGAGTGATGACAATTACTGAATTGATTCAAGATTTCATTGAAGCCCATATCTTCTCCACTAATTCTTTTCCTAGTCATATCTGACAAAGTTTCAATCCACTGAGTCGCACCATTTCTAGGACCTCGAAAATAGAGTAGTGATGGGACGAACAGATACCAGTTCCACACACCTTTCTTTAATACTATGGCACCATGTCATAAACTAGCCGCCTTTTTCAAAGAGTTCTAGCGCCATCGAGAAACATGTGGTGCGGGAGTTGCAGGGATGATGTTCGTAAAATATATCCAAGCCTTCGAAGTGAGTTTCTTAACATGATGGCATCAACTGAATTACCGTCACCGCACCCGAAGATACATTACCCAACCTCGGGATTACTAAAAAATGGTCTTATATCTGTTATATCTCGAACTTAGGTTCTTAGTATGTCACGTAATACTTGAGCACTCAATCACTAGAACCCTCCCGAGTAGCAAAATGAGAAGACAGAAGACTAGTAAGTAGGAATGTCATTCCCAAAAAACAGTGTCAAATATAGTACAAAAATGTCATGTGTTTATATTTTTTGGTTGAAAGTAAATCATCATTTCGGATAGCCAATAGGCACATAGGGGGTCCTTCATATTCAAACAATAGGAGAGCTACACGTCGACATTCTATAATGTTCCACTAGCGGTGACTGGATGGAATGTCTTTGGCTCTTTCTGGGCTTCTCGAGGCTTCCTTGAGTTTGCTGACGAGCGATCCTAACAATATCCAATGTGAGGAACACTTTAAAGACAACGATCATCAGATATCCCCATCTAAGAGGAGCCAGGTTTGATAAACATAGAGCAGAGCCGTTCTTACCGATGTCCTTTATATACGACATCCTACAGTTAAACTAACACAGCAACTCCAAAGATAGTCCAGAGTAACATAACGTGCTGTGATTTCCACTATACATATACAGCGGAGAGGTGTTAGTGTACAGCGCCTTCAGGATGTCTATAAAGTTACCGTGCACACACTACCACAAAAGATAATTCCAGATCAGTCTTGTTCAACAAATCGAAGGCGGCCCTGATAATAACAAATATGATTCTGAACCTTCAATAAGTGTTTTGGGATGCGGTAGAAGGCGATGTTATGAATACAGTAGGATCCGTAAATAAATATTTTTTAACGAGCATGACTCAAACTAAAAGATTATCCTCCAACCTTTACCATATAAAGAAGGACCTTTAGTTAAACACCAGCAAACGACTTAGAGAGCTGAAGCTACATCTACAGTAATGGCTGGAAATATTTATTATCATCTCAATTCTACAACGAACAAACTAAGAAGACTCGTAGATTATTCTAGATTTGCCCCTGAGGATGAATGGGGATACAGGAGTGGATAAGTCTTCAGAATTTTTTTAACCGTAGATGGAGCAAAACAAGTAACGATGACCCCCAAATGATTAAATGATGCAATTTTAGTCTGTAAATAAACACAAGATAACAATGTCCTATTTCTGTGAAAAGATACAGGTCATTACAGCACACTTCTTTCAGATATGTTCCCAAACTGATGTTGATGACAAAGTAATTTTCAATAAAGCGTATTTCGATCATATTTGGTGAGTCAAATACTCATTTTTCAGCAGAAAAAGTTAAAACAGCAAAAAACTTACAAGTGATGGTGGATTACCAGCAATTATTCCTGAGTTAGCATTTATATCTGGGCGAAAATCAGTTTTTCGCTGTTCACTGGATAATAAATATTGAACACGAGAGATAGCCAGATTTAGACACTTTTCTAAACCAGTACAGAATTTACCTTCCAAATATTGTTTCAATTCGTTACGTTTGACAGAGATTTCACTTGCATATGATGGGTTCGTACTAAAATATACATAATATTAATGGCATTTAATCTTTCAAGTGGTCTAACGTAAAAATTAAGCATAAATACTCTGTTCCAAGGAAATTGTCATTGTACAACATAACACGTAAAGGATATTAACAAGACACTACTACTACTACTAATAATAATAATAACAATAATAATAATAATAGAGATCGTGAACAGACCAGTGTTAGACCACCACTGAAAACCTGGAAGCATTGGATTGCCGTTTCGTCCTAGTATAGGAATCCTCAGCGGTATGCACTCACGATCCTGCACACAGGATTCGAACTCAGGGTCTTTGGTCTTGCGTGAGAACGCTTAATCTCTGGACCAATGGGCCTGAATCCAAAAGAGTTGATGTCTAACTTCATTTACTCACTAGTGACTAGTTTCGAAAGGTCACCCTCGGAGTTCTAGTGAAAAGCCATGACAAGTGATGTTCGACTCTGTCAGGTGCAAGACAGTTACCCATCGACGACAATGGGAGATGGTCAAAGTTAGACATTAACACTGTTGGATGTCGGCTCAGTAGTCTAAAGGTTAGGCGTTTGCGCGTGAGGTCGAAGGTCCTAGGTTCGAGTTCTGCATGCGGAATCGTGAATGCGCACTGATGAGGAGTCTCATAATAAGACAGAACGACCGTCCAGTGCCTCCAGGTTTTCAATGGTGGTCTAACATTGATAGGTTCATAATCTCAACTAAACTCAACAATTTCCCCCACCCTATGCTGATAATAGTAATAATGTCTTTATCCAGTATTATATGTTTAGTACAATGAGGAATTCTCAGTATAAAATAACTCAACAAGTTCCCCTTACTCCTCGCACATCACGAAAATGCAATTGATGGCTACATACATATACGTATGAAATAAGTAAATAAATTAACTAGAATTAAAATAAGAATCTAGAAAACTTTGGACTAGCAACATGTTCATGAATATGAATTTTTGATTAGGTCACTTTGCACAACTTGTGATTGCCAGTTAGCTTTAGTATCCTAAGTCAACAAACATCTACTTCCTTAAAGTATAGAATAAAATCCCTTATAGACTAATTGTCATATATATATTTATTTATCATATGAAAAATTTAGTGCTTTTATGAAAACTGTAGCTAGTTTTGCTCATTAACGTTTTGATTTCTAAAAAAAACTATTTTCTAAACAAAAAAATTAAAAATATCAAGAAAATGTATCATATTATCAAAGAACTTCAACACAGTCCAACATTATAAGCAAAGACGGATGATGGCTAACAGTAGGATCCAGGACCGATCAATCGCAGTGCTAAACATTAATTAGAAGATTAGAACAAACAATACAAAATGAATCTATACAGTTCAAAAAACTATTAGAACATTATTATTTGAGAAACTTCGACAGTGTTATGTCCCTGGGACCGAAAGAAAATATATCCTGTGTACTTTATCACTGTGCTGGGTTTCATTTTCATATCTTCAATGATAATTTTATTTGAACAAACGAAGTCGGTTTTCACTAACGAAATAATAAAATTACTGCTTGTTTTACTATGAATTCGATAGTGGTGTATATTAATATTAACAGGTTGGACAACTAATATAATCGCTTACAAACAATCATTTTGTCTTTTAGATGACTGATCATATCACTTAGAAGCAACTCCGTTAGGAGCCATTCTAGGGTTACTACTGGGCTTAGCAGCAGCATGACGTAGAAAACGACTTTGCCAAACAACACTAACCAGAAAAATTCATTTTACCCACTTATACTCTGTCCTGGGAGTTAAAGGGTCTTTATTTAGAAGAGATACAATGCCTCATGATGAAAGCCGAAATCCTTCGGAAATCACGAGACCGATGCTCCTTGTGACAAATAAAGCAACAATTAATATCAGTACACGGAATGTTCGCACACTGTGGAAGACCGGAAAGGCTAGTCAAACAGCTGTGAAAATGAGAAGATAGAACATGGCGATGTGTGGATTAAGTGAAACCCAGTGCACGCAAGGTGTGCATTAAATAATAGCCTCGGGATAGGTGATGTTGTATTCTGGCTATGAAGAGGAAAATTCCTCGCATATGAAAGGAATTTCATTGATGCTCTGCAAAGAAGCGTGAAAAGTGCTAATAGGATGGGAATCTCATGATTCTAGAATCATCAAAGCATCCTTCAAAACAGAGAGGGAAGATGTACCAAAGAGAGATCTGAGTAAGTGTGAGAACTACAGCGACATCACACTACTATCGGTACCAGGAAGTTTTCAACAGTGTTGCTGAATTAGATGAAATATTCAGTAGACGACCAGCTTTGAGATCAACAAGCCGGATTCCGTAAGGATCAGTAGTGAATACAATGGACAGCCTGCATGCAACTAGACAACTTTGATTTCGCAGATGGCCTAGCCCCCGATCCCATACACAGCAAAAATGCGGGTGAATACGGCCAGTGTAGAACCAGTAGGTCTCAATGTATATAAGAGGACAAAAATGATCCTAAAATTCAACATAGAGTACCAACCAAACTGAACTTGTTGGAGATCTCGGACAGGTGGAAACTAACGTACTTGGGAAGAATTACTGATAAACAGGGGGAATCTGATGCAGGCGTGAAAGCATGAATCGGCGGAGCAATGGAAGCATTCCTTCAATTGTAAAACATCTTGAAATGACGATCAGCTTTCTCTCTTACACCAATCGAACACTAATTCCCCTTAGACGAATTTCTACACTAGATACCTTGCAAGTGTCTATTCTACAAGATTTCAACACAACTTGGGTCAAGAACACGTGACTACTCTGACTAAAACAAGGGTATATTTACACGCCAACAACCGACAATAATAATAAAAAGGGTGGGAAAATATATAACACATCTAATACCTGTCAGACCATCCTACAAGTTTGATTAGACAAACAAACAATCACCATTTTCCTCGCCCACACATCAAAATGAAACTCAAAACAACTGTCACAAAACACCAAAGTCAGAAATTCCAATACAAACGTTAGAAATATTACTGTACGGAGCTGAAACGTAGAGAACCACTATAACCATCATCAGAAAAGTACAGGTATTTATGCACAATTGTCTAAGCAACATACTCAAGATCCGTTGATCGGATACCACCAGCAACAACCTATTGTGACAGAGAACAAACCAACTTCCAGATGAAGAGGAAATTAGGAAATGGATAGGACATGCATTGCAGAAATCATCAAACTGCATCACGAGGTTGGTCCTTACTTGGAATTCTTAAGGCAGAAGGGAAAAGAAGGACCAAAGAACACATTGCGTCAGGAATTGGTGGCAAACATCAAAGAAATGAACAGCAACTAGGAACAACTAGAAAGGAGAGCCTAGGATAGAGTTAGTTAGGGAACCGTGGTCGTCGGCCTACGCCCTTATGAGGGGCAAGTGGAGTAAGTAATTATGTAATAGTTTCGAGTTTCTTTTTAGTCAATTAATCCTTGTCTCTGGTTCATTAAAGATTTTTAAGGCTTTTATTGTTCCAGTCGTCTGTTCAAAATAAATCATTCAAATTAGTAAAACAGTATCAGGATGCCACTCAATTTAAGATAGTGGACTATGCAAATTTTGAATGACATTTATCTATACTATAGTACTAGTCTGTATTAACTGAAATAATATTCGAGTTTTGGAGATCACAATATCCTGACAATGAGAATATTACGTCAAAATTGACTTCGTAGTAAATCGCATCTTAAACAATACATAACTGAGCGTTAAATTGAGAGCTGATCTAATCAAGTCAAAATAATACCGGGAGATAAAAATATCAAATCCTTCAAATATTTTCATCCATAAATGTAATATATTGGTGAACAGAATTTCTAAGTATGATACAAAGTTTTTCGTATATTTGTGTCGTGGCAAGTAATGGAATTCAGAATGCACATTTTGTCCCATAGCAATACATTTTCTCGAGATGTTCACAAGCCAATAGCAATTGATCAATTGTAATCTCAAATATCAGCAACAAGAAAATATAAATATTTACAAATCATTTAAACAATCATAGAAAAAGATAGGTTATCAGGCCATAGTCAATTAAAAAGACTCATACTTTCGAAAACTGAATTTATGTACTTTAGGTGTTTTTGGAAACTGTAGTGGGACAAAAAATTATTCAGAAAATACTCACATAATCATTGGTAAAATGGATTCATCAATTGTTTTCTCAAAAAAGTGAAAAATGGATGTGGCTTCATGAATTATTGAGAAGAAGACTAGGTTTGGATTGCTACTTCGAGGATCGGCTATATTCAAACCTGATATTACAAAGCGTAAAATCCATTCAAATATTATGTGCAAACAAGTATATGAAAATATGACCAATTTATATAAACTTGAGTACCTTACCTAACGATCAGTATAGGGCTGTGGAGGTTGTTGAGTTTTTATTGAGATGATGAACTCGATCAGTGTTAGATCATCAAGCGAAATACTAATACCAATAGACTGACCAAAAGGCAGTGCACACGTAATTACTGAAATGGGAATTTTTGGAAACTATTCATTCTTAACTAAGTTATCATCACAGATTTAAGCAAGCTGTGAAAGCATCAAAAATAGTTAGCACTAAGAGGCTGTTTTACCCTCAACAAAGTCTGTACACTGCTCTATACAAAACCTAATCCACGAAATTTAAGACTTCGTAATTAGAATGATATCTACGAACCACTTAAATGAAGTTCGATTGTTAACATTTCAAAATTCATTCTATCATACTTGAAGTGGGGTAGATATCATCCATAACATTGAATGATAGTCATCATGTAATACTGTGAATTAATTGAAGTTGAGTTTTTTCATCTGATAACAGTCCGTAATCAAAACTGATTTTGAACACTGATATGAAAATCCTTAGGAAGTTTTTTTTATTATGACGTTTGTAAAAGATTCAGCTAAAAACAAAAGTGAACATTTTGTTTTATTCCAATTTTTTCATTCATTCTATATGAACCATACTTATTACGTTTAATTTCTTATTGTCAGTGATATAATTATTTAAAATCCCTTAATATATTTCTTTTAGCTATACTGACGAGGAGTGGCAACGTGGGTTGATATACATTTGTGATGCACTGTTGATGGGTGACTGAATAAGTGATCGAAAACACTCTATTTTCGATTCAAATGTATAGTAGTAATTGTTATTTTTACTATTTTATACTCCCTATTATAGTTTAATTTAATATAATTTTAATGATCGATTTGAAGATTTTTACAAATCTAAAAAGCAACAAAAGTGCTTTTAAAATATAATAAATTCACAGCATTTCTTCACTTTCTCTCCATCCTACAGAAAAACTGATAAGTTTAGTTAATGTAAAATGTGATTCTACATAGAAATCTTAATAAATGAACTATTCATCAGTGAAGACTATATTATTTATGATGGGGTTTTCTAATAGGTAATTAATTTGGTAGTTCCAGAATACTGGAGAATATGATCTTATTACGTAACATAGTAGACATTTATTGGAAGTATAGTGTTGGGAGCTCTTAAGAATACATCAATAAAGCCTCTAGAAGCTCAGAAAGGTTGAAAACATTTTGTCTGATCGGCACCGAATATAAACTTCCTAAAAACATCTAGAAAAATGTTGTTTTGAGTGAATTGTTGTTCATAAACGCATAAATAAGCTTTCCTTTCGCACATAAATTAACATTGAAGTAACGCTCCTATCCTTACATAGTGCCTTTCGACAATGTTTAGTTCAAGTGGAGTAGTCTGAGGATAAAAAATCGTATAGGAGGTCACCAGCAATAGTTCGAGTAGCAGATATATCGTGTAGGGAAATCATAAAGAAGTATTATTGAGTTAAAGTCATTAAATTGTAGCCAATAGTTAAATGAAAAACGAAAAAATAATAACGAATAACGAACTTATTCATAATTGTTCATTTAGGTTAGAGAGGTAACTAAAGCTAACTATTGATTCCCTTCAAAAATAAGCGTTTACTTACTAAAACCCCAATAAAAATATTAATTCTAAACTCAATACAAACAACTTGATCCTCAATGATAGGTAGTTCATTCAGCAACGATTCCTACTCACTGCCTTCTCGCGGTAGAAGTGTTGTTTACGAAATTGAGAAAACGAAAAGCGAATGTCCAGAGCTCTAACTGGGTTGTTAGATAGAGAGGATCCACCTAAGGGAGTTGGAAAACCCTGATTCCAAACCAGTGGTGCACATGGGCTCCAGTATCCTGATAGAAAAAATGGCGTGAAAACCTATTGTTGGTCACCGGCTGCCATGGGACTGCATCTCCTAATGATGCTTCACTGCCTTGTGGATTAGACCTTTGGGTCAAAGGCTCGGAGTTTGGCTCCCTAGAAAAATCACCTGCTTCGGTTTGGGTATTGGAACAGTATTCCAGACCTCACTAATGAATGACGAAGTGTGGCGCATATATATCTGGTGCTTTCTTGAACCAATGTTTATATGTTTAAATAAATAATGTATGTAACTGTAGAGAAAGTGACAAATTACGAATTCTTTTTTCCATTGTTTCTCCAACTTCATGTAAGATAAATTCATTTAGTATTGTTTGTTTGAATCTTCCCATCGATGTGTCAGGACTGCAACTGGTCAGTCTCTCAATAGGACGAAACGCGCCTCCTGGATTCCACTGCTAGCCACTATCCATCTCTTCATGTAAGATATTTTGATCAGTATCAGTGAAATCAGATTGTTTGATACATGTAATGGAATTACATCTCATTTCTCTGACCAACTTTGTCTTTTTATAATACTATTTAGGATCGATAATGCACAAATTGCGGTTTGTGTGAAGTTAGTTTATAAAGTACGTCCAACATAAACATCCCAGTTTTACTTTTTTCAAAGAAAAATGTATAGCCTGTATTTTTATCTGTTTCTTGATAAAGCTTACTTGTCACTCAATAAATTCAGTACTTGTTTTTCAAATATGGGAAGCAATATTTTTATGTAACAAGCTGCGTTCAGTTATCTATGCTACTGTGTAAACTATACGTCAATGAGAATCTGTATTTCGTTTTACTGAGTAAATATCTAATGTTAAGGAAAATTGGTTCCAAATAATAGTCATTTGATGGGCCCACGTACTTGGTATTGAATCATTAGTGTCATTTGAATTTGAGCTTGATTCTATTAGCCAAAGTTTAAGCATCAAAGTAGTAGATTATAATCTCAAACAAAAAACGTGTTTTACATTTAGATTTAAAAGTAGCGCTTAGAATTTGGTTCAGATATATTAATTATCGTGTTCCTCGAACTATGCTAAAGAATGATAAATTTCAGTTCCTCACTCCCTGAAAAATACATTGAAACTAATGAATGGTAAGTTGTATTTGATGGTTAATTCTTTTACCGAAGTATATGAATACAGAATTTAAGAGAGATTTGTTCAACGTCTAAATTATATGATAAACCTGTGAATTCCTGCTTTGTAATTTTGTTCTAATGAGATGACTGATTGATTTACATGAATTGATAACTATTAAACATGGATATTCAATTAATAACATTACTATATTATCGATAATATTCATGGCTTAGTATTCCGACGCCTAACTGTAAATCCAATTCTTGTATTATATAAATATATAAACTAAATAGTACAAAAATGTTAATTTTCGTATAAAAAAGAACAGATTCAGTTTTGATGCAATGAACTTACCGTGCAAACCTATAGTAACACCATAATCCACGTGTTCAACAATTAGATAGTGATACAAACAATTAAATATGAATTTGCCATTGTCTGGAATAGCAGTAGGTTGGGATAACTACAGAGCAATTGAACAATATATATATAGTAGAACAATTAAGTAGATTAAAGAGTAGTGACTATAAAAGTTTTATTTTACACACTGGACTGTATGAAATGGAGTACTATGGTAACTAATTAACTTGAAAATTTATTTATTTAAATACTAGTGTTGAATACAAACCAGTGTACAACCTCAATATTCATTAACATAAGAGGGCTTATGCTGATTGGTTGATGAGTGGCCCCAAATGCCCTGGTACGGCCGAGAGTGGGGAGTCACCTCTCTCTCTCGAAATGCTCTCATATGGCCAGCGAATATATAGCCTCTGCCAGGGAAGTCCTACTCACTGCCTTCTCGTGGCGGGGGTGTTGTTTACAAAAGTGAGAGGACGAAAAGCGAATGTCCGGCGCTTTAACCGGGTTGGTGGACACGGAGGGTTCACCTAGGGGAGTTGGAAAACCCTGATTCCAAACCAATGGTGCACATGGGCTCCAGTATCCTGATGGAACGAATGGCGGACGAACCTGTCATTGGTCAACGGCTACCATGGGACTGCATCTCCTCACGATGCTCCACTGCCTTGTGGATCAGACATTCAGGTCAAAGGCTCCGGGTGTGGCCCCCTAAGAAAACCACCTGCTTCAGTCTGGGCACCTGGGCAGTATCACAGCCCTCACACAAATCGAATGAGATTTGTGAGGCGCATATTTATCTGGTGCTTCCTTGTACCAATATTTATGTGTTTAAATAAATAAATAAATAAATCACTATCGATTTACGGATAAATCGAATAGATTTTAATATTTATATTTTCAGTTAAGTATTTCACATAAAATGTTAAGAACCATTTCTACTCTCACCCAATCTTCATTTAATAAAATACCGTCAGAAACTCAATATTCAAGGGCTCTTATCAATCGGTTTCTCACCATATATATAGAAGCAATCATTAATTAGTATTTACTTTCCAAAAATGTTATACAGACACGTTTACAAAAGTTTAGGGAAAAATGTTAAAAAATAAAACAATAGGTAATCTCATCGTTTCCAGAATAATGAATAGTTTAGATCGTTTGTCTACAACCACAACATACATACATAAATAATCAAAATACATGCAATGACTTTAATAATAATTTTAGGATTGGCTTTATTACAAAAACTAAATATTCCACATCAACGATAAATAATGAACATGAAAAAAGGAGAAAATATACTTTCCGAAGATAATTCATTCAGTTATAACAAATATGAAACCTAGCACATGTTTTCTGGTCCCAACTTCAACACGTCAGCACAGCCATACGAGATTATCAAGACATATAGGAGTAGGATAACAGCAGCAGTAACAGCACCAATTATATTAGAAAAAGGTAAAGCAAAGAGAACACAACTAAAGAACGAATTTGAGGAATAAAATGTAGGTATTTTTAAACTAAGGATGAATGCATCTTAGCCATTGTAAACGATGAAAGATGGAGATGAACAGATGATTGTTTTCAAAACTAGTGTATTAGTGTAAATCCATTCAGAATACCATATACTTTATTTGAAGTAAATAGTCTTCAGTTGTAAATAAATCTTCAACAAAAAGACTGCAGAAATATGATAAAACGAAAGAAAGCTTCTCACTATATGACAAAAGTATACTACGAAGGTTAGTATTTTAAAAACTTTTACCTATTTCTCTAACATACTACAAGCATTTATGATAAAGTTATTACTGTCTACATCTTAAGCATGTTTATTTTTAAAATGAGTTTAAGGTTCAGTATCTTACGAGCAAGCATCGTTTGGCAGCACGCCGAATATCTTCAATAATATTAACAGCGACTTCTTCGGATAACAAAGATATATCGTAGTCATTTTGTGATCGATCACCACCAGTGATATGAAACTTAGCTTGGAGATCTCGACGAAGTTCAGCCAAGCTAAAAACAACAGAAGAGTTAATATTTATTGATGTTACTGGAAATAAGTACATTATTCATCATAATGCAGATGAACACCTATGAATATTCACCGTACCATATCAGTAAGACTTTATTATTGAACGCTAATCACTGTTAAATTGTAAAGTGTATGAAAAACTTTGAAACTAACCCAGAAACATTTAGTGCACGTTTTTGATGCCTTTGACTTTGATAATAATGTTCAAGGTGACCTGTTAAGCGTTCAGTTAACCAGTCAGATTCTCGTTTCATGTAATCAACTAAATATGGAGCAAATAATTCCCGAAATAATTTGGACAGTTGCATTGGATCCGTAATTAAAGTCAACTCATTAGATAGCTCAACAACTAACTTTTCCACGCTGAAATTTGTAAAATAAATACATAAAACTATCAGAATTATATATATATGAGTCAACTAATTACATTCATTCTTTTGAAAGTATAGGACGGTAAAAAAAAGGTATAAAGAATAATGTTTAAAACACTAACCTAGTCAATGAAAACTGTGTATTTGATTAGATAGTAAGCAACAGATATTGAGCCTATATTTAAAAGCATTTATAATGGTATCGTCATAAATGAAATGATAAAAATATTTACTTAGAATTTACGACGTTTTTTAGTGTTAAACATCCTACACTTACAAGCTTAAAACTTACACAAATAAAAGAGATGATTAGCTATGATTGTATTTTATATGCAGCAAACACTGAGGCCAATGAAATGTGCAATTTCATTTACCAACAATGAGTAAAAACAGTATTACTTTAAAACTATTGGGATTGAACTAAATCACTTTTATTCTATATAATATTGTAAATGGATACTAAGATTACTGAACAAGAATATGTGTAAAACTGCAATTATATGCTTACTTTCGATATTCATTGTACAAATTAGTTAAAAATGCCTGTGCATTCAACTCTTCCTTCATATGATTACTCAAGTATACCTACATTGGAACAAATTGAAAAATAAAACAAATTATATGCTTAGAAAGTTCTGTGAGGAGGAGAATAAGTATTAATTACGAAACTCATGGAGCCATTTTCCAGGTGTTTAGAATATCTTTTTACCGTGCATTTTTTAAACGATTGATTCATGGTAGTTTTATCTTCTCTCAATTACAAGCCTTTACTTGTCTCGTTGATAGTTGTTATTATCTTTTTCCATCCATAGATCATCGTTAATCAGTTATGAACCTATTATTTGTATAATAAATATCTCAGTTTTGTACATAATTTATAATTTACGCATTATGGTTTTGTATTTAAGGGTTTTAATCATACAGAACAACGTGATCTTTATGTCACTGATTGATAATTTGAGAAAACGGATTGAAATTTCGCGTGGGACGTTGGTCCTTTTGACATATACAGTAAAGTGTTGGCAAACTTATTTAGCTAATATAAAGCAGTCATAAAAGGTAAAATATAAACTCAGTAAAATTACATAGGATATGCATAAAACACACGGGTCAACTTTGCTTGTCAACTGTTATATACACAAGAGGTTTTTCTTCAAAACTAGTGGATAGCAATACATTATATGTCTTCGACGTGTTGGTCATGTGAGGTAGAGCAGTGTTAAAATTACGCATTATTTCGTAATTAAGAAGCGCAAGGCAACCAATAAATTTGTGCGCCCAAACTGATTGGTGTAACTTGGTTGTGCTTAGGGCATGCCAAACGATCATTTGATTGTGCTGTTCTGGTTGAATTGGGAATAAGTTCGTAGTGAGTTGAGTGAAATATCAAGAGATTATTATATCAAGTCACACGTTATAAACCTCAGTGGTCGTTGGGAGAGTAAAACTCTTGGTCAAGTTCGTCAACGTGCCAAAAATTAGTGGTTTCAGACCTCAAGTAACAAGATAAAAAATTGGTCACAAAGGTGTAAATGAGTTTTTTTGCTTTTCCCTACAACTTTACGATACTAAATTATGCCTAACTGATTCCCAAACACCCTTGGATTCTCAGTGTTGAGAAGGATTTTTATCTGGAGATTTATTTACTTGATTGTTAACTGTTATGTTGAAGCGATTACGAGTTCCCTAATCTAAGAACGAGACAAAAACTCTGTGACCAAAGACCAATAAGCTCGCTGTTCTGACGCGTTACAGCCCCCGTAACTAGGGTGAGAAATCCAAATCCAAAGTGGGGAAAATACATTTCGCAAGCAGCCAAAAGCACAAGTAATCACAACAGGCACAAATCAAACGCATATATACAGCATAAAATTGTCCTTAAGAAGCGTTACAAAATAGCATACTAAAACATACAACAAACCAATAGCGTTTAAGATCCTCCCGAGTGGTAAATACGACATGAAGGTGAAAATGAGCGCTTTCAGCGCGAAAACAGGAAATTCAATTTTTCAAAATAAAATTACAAAAATAAGGCATTCATCAAATGAGTTCTGGGGATCTAACATCCCCAACATTAACATAAGCAGTTTCCATTGAAGCAACCAATGTAGGGCTATACGTTGTTAGATCTGTGTCTGTCAATTTTTAATGTAATACAAGAAATGCATCAGAAAGTTATACATAGAATCTTTCCCAATCTAGTTTGTAGAATGCTACTCGAATATACCCATGTTACCAAACCATGTAGTGTCTAATTCCATAGTTTATTAAATCTGTTAAGCCGAACAACCTAATGGAGTTGCAAAAATAGGGTTTTATGATACGATCTTGAAGCAGGTAATGTATTATTGTTATTTATTAGACTTACTTTTAATTTTGTTGTGAAAAGACTATGCATTAGCTGCATCAGGACTGAATCTGGTCTTAAGAATAAGGTCATTATTAGCTTTTCACTCGAAACCAAACACCTTGTAATATCTTTAAAACTAATCTTGTTGGGATTTATCGTCTATTAACAATAAAAAAATGTATGAAAATTATAGTAAGAATAAATAAATGATCATTAGGTAATGACTATGGAACCATAACGTATAGAAAATAGACATTTCAATTGAAGGAATAAAAACAACTCAACTTTTCCTACTCAATATAAACCAGTTATAGAGATTATATATTGACTGTTTCACACTGACGTTTTACTCAAAAATCATTTTAGAGAACCATTTGGCCTTATTTTCAGTAGAGCGTAAAGGAGGTGAAATTTCAAGGTTGTCTGATCCCAGTATGAACTTTTTTTCATTATCATTGCTACTACATTATTTCAGTCTCTTTGTCTATTCATCTTGTGAATTTTATCTCGTCCAACTTATATGGTGTGGGAACTTCGGGTAATGCACATTTATTCCAGACCATGATGATGACCAACTGGAACACAATGAAGTAAGCACAGTTGTGTTTTGAAGACATTTAATTCATCTTAAAAACGGGAAAGTAGCACTTTTCAACATTCTGATTACCTGTGAGAAACATCATACTGCTGATTCAACCCAGTACAGTTGATAATCCTAATTCCAGAAATTCGATAGTAAATGTACGGATCCTCAAGCTTTTTTGTCAAAATTTTGTCGAAACTACAAATTTTTAAGCTACGAACGTAAGCAGTCCAACAGAGAAACTGACGTTTCGAAAGGAGCATATAAAATAAATCTACCTTTACTGTTTCTTCGACCAAGATCTCAGCACATTGAGAGTAGTTTTTGGAAAGAAGAAGTACATCTGCTATGCTCTTCATTGTCTCAACATTGCCCGCAAGAAAGTTTGCTCTAAATCTTTCAAGTAAAGCTGTATCCAAGTGTTGACAGGCGACTGAAATTCGTCACGTTAGAAAGTCAGTAAAAAGAACACACCTGTAACTCTTTGTTTTGCATTTAAGAAACGTTCATCATCTGGTAGCTCCAAGCACAACGAACTCAGATTTTTGAATCGAGTGGCGGCTTCAAGTAGCTAAGAAATTAGGGTTAGAAAATCATTTAATAACTATTCACATACTCTAAAACTTACAATGCATAAAATTTAAGCACCAAACAAGGTTTGAAGTTTAAACATGAGTACGAGTATTTAAAAAATGAATACCAGAGATTTCATTTTGTTACCGTATCTTTTACAGAATAATAAAATTCACTTCCATTCAAGAGTGATAGTTATAATCACTCCTCTACTCATAAATAAATAATATATTTGTAATATCCCAATGAGTAGAAAAATTGTGAATCACATTGACCAAAATGACATGACATTGATCTATTCAGACCTGTTTTTTGATTGATCGCACCTTATATTCATGTTGTTCCATTGTACTATTTAAACCTGGATTAATGTTAATTTGGTCATTTATTCTCCGAAAAAGTGGCTTACACTGAGTTACGAAACGTCAGGAAATCTAATTTTTCTACTCATTGGGGTATCACAAATATATTATTTATTTACAACAATCTACCCAATGTTCAATTTATTCAAAATTACCAAATCAAAACTTGGTGATGATACATACACTCCTCTACTCAGTTTAGAAATGGTGAACTGTTTCAACAGTTTAATTTTATGCAAGCGCTTGTCACGTAAATGTTTCCCCTATTATCACCCCAAAACCCAATTAATACTTATTCGTGAGCACCTGGTTCTCTTCCCAAAATTAAACGAAGGATGGTTAGAAGAATATAAATTTATTATATTTATGTAAACTGTCGTTGAACATACACAGACTAACAATCCTAGTTAAGTAAAAACTGAAAAATACGAAAATACTAATTCCGAAATTAAGTGTCTGCAACGACTATTAAAACGGATTGAGATACAAGTTTGTACTGTCAGCGAAAAGTGGCAAATAAATGAAGTGTCGATCCTAAGACGATTAACACATACGATGAATAAGGTAGAACCTTATACAAAGCCATGAAACTTGAATAATGTAGTTTCATGATCAACTAGGAAATCTTCTTTAAGTTCATTACCAACGTGATACCACACAAAGCCTTTTGAGAGCCCATGGCTGCAACAAGTATTTCTTACAATAAGCATGTGAACATTAATATTTAATCTATTTTTAAAGTGCACTGTGTAGCACGTGTCACGTGCAAAGCACAATTTTTACGACAGATTTATAAGGTAACTTTCACAATATGAAACGTTACTCAAAGCTTACATAATTGAATAGAAAACGTTGCTATCAACAAACGTGAATTTCTCTCTACTGAAGCGTCTATTGTTTTCAAGAGTAAATTGCAACTAGAAAATAAGTTAGTTTTATATCCCCACGTTCAAGCACTTCAGCAAGCAATTTTCTCTTTTATGTTTGAAAGACCAGTTGCAAGTACTCTAGAGATATTAAAAAGCAAGTTACTTTGATTTTTTTTTCTTAAGTTGAAGAAGCTTAAGGAGTTGATATCAGAATGAGCAGATGCATAGAGCAGTCAAAAATATAATAATATTTCTAGAGAGCTAGACGGTAGGACATAGGCAATAACGACCTAAAACTATATAACATACTAAAGTAAAACGGCTTCGACCGATACACACTATCGTGAAAAGATAACTTTAATCTAGTATTCACGGCCATAATTGAATATCTGGATCCATAACTATCCATACTACTTCTAAGTCCATTTTAAAGTATTATGAAAAAGCAATGACAGAATAAATCACCCATTCACTTTAAAAACTTCATACACGAATATAAGAAGTGAATAAAAGAAAACCACCGTTGCTCGAAAGTGCTCCATGGTTAACACACAGCACAAAAGAAAAAGTCGAAATCATCCTTGCAGGGTAACATATAATCTTATTTTATTATATTAAAATGTTATTTGTGATACGAAGTTTTGAGCCTTCATAACAAAGGGAAATATGGTTCAGAATAGATGAGGTTCATTATATACAATGTTTGCTAATAATTCGGCTAGAAACAATGAATAACCGATATGTTTATTTACCTGATGATTTAGTGTTTACGTGAAGGAAATTAGTAGGAAGTTGATATGATCACACATCAGTATAGCATAGAAAGGGTGTATGTGAATTTAAAAGACAAAATACAATGTTGTAAATATATATCTTACTTGAAAGAACATTTTATAAAATCGGTAATAACAAAAGTCTACAGGGTTAGAAACAAGTGGTTACATGGTGAAAGGATTCTAATAAGTAGAAATAAAATGAGTAAAGCTAGGTTAGCCAAGATCACCAATCTAGAAAATAAATATAATAGGTTGTAAGTAGCTGGCGAGAACTAAACGAAATAAAATAGATTCATGTCAAGCTTCTCAGACTTTTCCCACTCCTTTTAAAAGAAATAATTATTTGTACAACGAAGTACATTGAAGTAAGCTACTTTGATTGTGTATTTTAAGCATCTTATATGGAGAAAACAGTGTATTCTGATTGTTAGAAAATATAATAAACATATTTCTAGACCCATAATGTAACAAAGCTTATTCTTCAGGTTATATCAAAAGGTAACTTACCTGGGCTTCATCTGATTGAGTGCTTACTACATTAGTGACACTTCCTCCTCCAAAACCCCAGAATTTATAAAATTCAAGTATCAAATCACGTGCCTCTTCAATTCGTTTTCTCGGCAAGTTTTTCCTTTCTAACTGGTCGCCTAAATGGACCAACTTTCCAGATACCATATGAACTTCAGTATCTAACTTGCAGAATTGCTGACTAAGATCAGTTAAATCCTTTTTTAGCCTTTCGATAGCAGAACGAAACGACCACTCATCCTCTCGACATTTTACCTGTGTTGTGAAAGTTCGAAAAAACCTACATAATTATGTTAATATTTTCCATCACAAGTATTTGGAAGTTATATGCAGTGAAACTCATTCTTATTTCCACTTAGTCTAGTCCTTACTTTTCCTAATTCAAAAACGAATGATACTGCTGGAGGTTACAATCTGTTACCACGTTAAAATGATAATCATCTAATTCACAAACCTTTTATGGTCTCAAAATACACAATAAGGTATATCCAAAATATTTAGCATAGGGACACAAAACGTTTTAAACAAACGAGCATACATTAGGAACGAGATGTCAGTCAGTCAGTCAGCGACAACGTAGGACCAAACACAAGTTGCCATACCTCGTTAGCACAACAAGATGAACACGGGATTCATAGAAGTACGAGATGTAGGAAATATACAATGGACAAACAAATGAATGAGTGGAAAATGTAAATGTACGATGGAGGTTGGAAGTATAACAGTAGATGGAAATATTTGCACAATCGCAGTCAAGATTGAACCATATTACATAAAACTGAAAGTATTATCTTCTACTTTAACCCACAACTGATCACCAGAGAGAATAGTTTCCGAATGTTTAAAAGCCGAAACCAAATTGTTTGCGTCCGGAGTCTTGTTCAGCGCACTGTTATCAATTGCTAGAATTCTATACTAGAGCAGGTTATATCAGTAACTTCTGTTGATACACTTATAATGAGGCTGGATTTTTACAGTACTACAAATTACGAGAAGAAACACAGATCAACTAACCTCATATCCATACCGGTGAAGGTTACCTACTAATAACTTCAGATTTTGTTTGAGGAAGTGACAAACGTACAAGATATGTCAATATATATATATATAAATATATACTGGTTTCTGCCTACTAACTTTAACCATTAAAGTCTGACAGCAGTTGCTCTCAGGAATATCTTCAAAAGCCTAACATTTCGACAAGTTGAAAAAATAGTCACCAGCTAAGAGGGTTAACTGCCTGATACAACCTATCAGGCAGTTAACCCTCTTAGCTGGTGACTATTTTTTCAACCTGTATGGCAACTTGGACCGGTGCGTATGTGTGCCTGGTCCTACGTTGTAGCGGACTGACTGACTGATACAATCTAAGTAGTAGGTCCACATATTTATCTAAGAAAATAGGTAAATTGACAGCCCCAGTTATTGGAGAGACTAAGCTCACTCTCTAATAAAAATCTAGCATTTTCAGACACTCTATTCTTCTACACATAAGGTTTGGAAGAGAGAATTTTTGGCAATAACACAAAACTTCCTGTGTTGTTTGTCAGGTTTTAAACTTACAAAATTAACACTGTAAAATTGAGAATAACCACAAACAAAAAGTTACTCAACAAGTCTCGGGTAATATTTTACTGACATGTATTGTCATGGAGTCAAAATGCTGGGGCGATTACTACAACTCTACTTCGGTTAAGTTTCCCAACACATACAAGGCTTTTATTAGTTATGACTAAAAATAGCCGTGCTAAAGAAAAGGTGATGCTTGAAATTAAAACTAGGACCCTTGAAGTGATAAAGCTTACAGCTAATGTACTACTATGTGGGGGTACCACTAAAATCATCATCAGAAAAGTACAGGTATTTATGCACAATTGCCTACGCAACATACTCAAGATCCGTTGGTTGGATACCATCAGTAACAACCTATTGTGACAGAGAACAAACCAACTTCCAGATGAAGAGGAAATTAGGAAATGGATAGGACATGCATTGCAGAAATCATCAAACTGCATCAGGAGGTTGGTCCTTACTTGGAATTCTTAAGGCAGAAGGGAAAAGAAGGACCAAAGAACACATTGCGTCAGGAATCGGTGGCAAACATCAAAGAAATGAACAGCAACTAGGAACAACTAGAAAGGAGAGCCTAGGATAGAGTTAGTTAGGGAACCGTGGTCGTCGGCCTACGCTTTTATGAGGGGCGATTGGCATAAGTATGTAAGAAAACATCTGCTCGGTACATATAAAATTAGATACCGTTCCTGTGGGAAACTAACCTCCATCTGAGAACATTTTTCTTGCAGCCTTGACTTGAGTAAAAACAGTTCGTACAACGCACCCTCAAAATGTTCTTTTAATTTTTGAGGTTTTAACTCAGTTTCAGGAGTGGGGATTCCAAGTACACTCTTCGTCAATCTGTCCAACAGCGCAACCCCATAATTTGATTTCTGAAATAGTAAAGTATTTTCAGGTATAAACATACGACGCTCGGAAATGACAAATCGGGATTGATGGTTGGACACATCCAAATGTCCTTGACTTTAAATTATTGCCTTCCCTCAAGTTGTACATCTGACTAAAATTCACTGACTTTCAAAAACTGTGTTTTAATGACAGAATGATAAAAAATTATGTTTACCTGGTATGTTTAACGTGGTTGTAGTTTATTTTGATTTGTTCAACATAACCACTGTTTTTCTTCTTTCAGTATTGTATTAAAAATGATCCAAATGATTCTGCGACGAGTAGAAAATCCTTCGCCCAACAGGTTGCCCTGTCTACTAAAAATTGATCAATGATGCTTTCAAAAACACACATATATGTTCGATACAAACAGAAGGGAAGTGTTGACAAATTATTACAAAATACCGTCCCTAATTATTAAGAATATATCGATTTTCCCCGTGATGAACCGATGGAAAGTTCAGTTTTCAGTAATATGGATAGTAGGCTGATCAGTCTATACTAAATATTCAAACATATTTTCCAGTGGAAATCCAGCTACTCCTTAAGAATATTCATTGGTGTATTCCGTTCAATCCGCTATGATAGGGTGCTCTTGTCACTGAAAAATGGAATCTCACTCTGATTTTATTTGATCGTGGTTTTCAGATCTTATTGGTGTGGATTTGAAATGGAATAGTGCTAGAGGGGTAATAAAGTTTCAGTTTCAGTTTCAGTTTGGAAAGGACAGGAGGCTTGATGGCCTGTGTTAGTCCTAGCAATGATGGTCTCTCAGCTGATCCAACTTTCTTTTGAAGGAGTCGACGGATGGAGCCTCAACCACGTGCTGAGGTAATGAATTCCACTCGTTGATTATTCGATGGGAAAGTCGGTAGTCAGCTGACAAGTAATTCGTTCTGGGCTTGTGAACTTTTTTGGAGTGTCCTCGTAGATTTTCTGTTTTGGAAGACAAGAAAAATGAGGGCATATCAGGTGCAAATTTGTCATTAAGCAATTTGAAAACTGTAATCAAGTCGCCTCTGATTCTTCTATATGACAGCGGGAATAGGTTTAGCTTGGTCAGTCTAGTACCATACGGGAGCTTCGCTATTCCGGGAATCAGCCTAGTTGCTGTTCTCTGAACCCTTTCCAAGAGTTCACTGTCTTTTTTAGGCAGGGGTTAGCTGCTTGTATACAGTACTCAAGTTTAGGGCGTACGAACACTGTATACAAAGTCAAAAACGTTTTAGATTCAAGATTCCTGAAAGCCCTACTTATGGACCACAAAGTCCTAAAACCTTTGGCGGCTATTGCACGGCAGTGTGCAGTAGTCTTTAAGTCTTGACTGACGATGACGCCTAAGTCGTTGTGTGCCTGAACAATAGGTAACTCAGTGTTATTCATCGTGTATGTATCTGTACCCTGGTGGCCAATATGCATCACAATACACTTGGAAGTGTTTATCGGCAATTGCCAGGTTGGGGACCATTCAGATAATCTCTCCAGGTCATTTTGAAGTTCTAAGCTATCGCCCTTGCTTTGTATCGCTCTCCATTTCTTGACATCATCAGCATAGAGTAAGACCGATGACGATAGTAGACGAGGGAGATCATTTACGTACAGGAGGAATGACACTGGCCCCAAAACTGTACCCTGGGGGATTCCACTAAGCACAGTTTCCCAGCTAGACAACTTGGAGTTCACCCTTACTCTTTGTTGACGCCCAACTAGGAAGTCTTTTATCCACATCAATAGATTGCCTCCAATCCCGACATTCCTTAGCTTATATAACAGCCGGTTATGCGGAACTTTGTCGAAAGCTTTGCTGAAATCGATGTAAGCCACGTCTATAGGTAATTTTTGGTCCTTAAGAGCGCGCCAGCTTTCACGAGCGACTAATAAGTTTGTGAGACAAGAGTAACCTGTTCTAAAACCATGCTGCTTCTCCGAGAGGATCCGGTTTTCATCGAGACACTTTAACAGCTCCTCCCGAATAATCTTTTCTAAGATTTTAACAACCACACTAGTTAGGCTAATTGGTCGGTAATTCTCAGGCTTATGTTTTGTACCTGTTTTGAATACTGGACTTACTATGGCGTTCTTCCAGTCTTTTGGTAGACGACCCTGGGTTACGGATAGACTAAAACATACACTTAAAGGGTTCGCAACAAAGTTAACTAATTCCTTTAGTAACCTAGGATGCAGTTCATCGGGTCCAGTGGATTACCTACGTCAAGCTTAACTAGCAAACCAAGGACATCGAGTTCTTTAATGGTCACGCTGTCCAGTGCTTGTGTGTGGGGTTTTCATGGACTGGTGAGAAGGGTGTTTCTATGGTGTATACATTGCTAAAGTATTTAGAGAATACTTGAGCTTTGCCAAAGTCGTCCTCCACTAGTGATGAGGCAGTACTGTCTTCCCGTAGTGAAGAAAAATTTCTTCTTTTTGCCCTATGGTTTATATACGAATACAAGCGTTTAGGGCATTCTATAGATTCCTTAACGATTTTCTCTTCGTACAGCTTTCTGGACTTACGGAGGGTCGAGGCACAGGTATTTCGAGCCTTTTGATACTGAGATTTTGCCTCGTCAGTCCCCAGTAACCTAAATCTATCCCACATTTTCCTTCTTTTACGGAGAAGGATGCGAACCTCCCTACTGAACCACGGTGGGAAGTTTCTCGGCCCCTTAGGTGTAGTCCAAGGGATGTGGGGGCGGTAACTCTTAAGTATAAATTCCGGAATACGTGCCAAGCCGTTTCGATTGATGACTCTGGGTTTATTTTCCAATCTACTAATGATGCTGATTTCATGATGTCTTGTATGTTGGCTTTCCAGACGTCAGGTCTGGATTGAGCTGAGGCGTGCTCATGATCGACAGTTATATGAAAGTCAAAGGTTGAAACTGCATGATCACTTTTGCCTAGGGGTGGCATGTAATCCAGGTTTGCAACATCATCCTCATTATGAGTCAATATAAGATCTAGTAGGGATGATGCAGAACCCGGGTCGTACCTAGTTGCTTCCTTCACGTGTTGCACTAGGGCACATGTGATTACCGCATCAACTAGTTCCTGTTCGAAGGAGTTTGCTGACGATTCAGTCCGCAGATTTCCCCAGTCCACCATGGGTGCATTAAAGTCCCCTAGGATTAGACATCGATCACTTCGTGATAAAGTGTTGAGACTGCTTAGCAGGACCTCATTCACCTCACAGCTTGGACTGCGATAGATCAAACTAAGCAGCAACTCTTGTCCCCTGCATTTCAGGCGGCAGCAAACTAATTCATACGTCCCTCTCATGGGATACACTGTCGATAATGGTGAATGGAGTAGCATTTCTAATGAATAGAGCTACTCCCCCTCCTTTACGCGTTTGTATTCTATCGGCCCTTACCAATGTAAAACCCTCGAAATCAAATTCCCTACTATCTATAGACGGCGTCAGCCATGTTTCTGTGACTGCGATTATGTCTGGCCTAGTTGAGTCAATCTGTACACCTAGTTCCGGAAGCTTATTGAGTAAGCTCCGGGTATTGGTATAACAGATTCGAAGGGGATTTACGTGGCCTCGTGCTTCACCCAGAGTGGCTTCGGCATCATCCTCTGTCGAAGCCTCACAATCCGAAAATTTACAATTTTCAGGTCTTTTTCATCAGCGTCTAATCTGAGCTGTAGTTCTTTTTCGGCTTCCCGTCTTTTTACACGGTCTGCCAACGGTAAGTCCTTACGGAGAAAAACTCCTGAACCCTTTAATTTGTGTTCATCTTCTAAGATTAAGTCGCGTTCGTTTGGGGATTTGAAAACGACTTTGAGCAGTCTAGACTGATTTGGTTTCAGATGCGCTAGATTTCCTAGTCTATACACCTTTAGCAAGGTGACTCTGGAGATGTTTTTGGGCATAACTTGGTTGAGTAATTGTTTTATCAACACAATGTCATGCTCAAAACGAGCTTTCGGTTCTGAGCAGTCACTCTCCTTGACTCTATGGAAAATGACCGATCTGTCGCTGTGATCAGACCTCGGCTTGTCGACCCTATTGGTGGGGATATGATTTCCTTTTACGTCATTTTGGCGTTTTTTTCTTACGGCCCGTACCCAATCACCAACGTTCTTTGGAGTGGTAACCACATTCGCATCAGGCGTACTGTGGGATTCCGGAAAAGTCAGGACGACTTGGGAGATTGGGTCATCTTTCGCGCTGGAAACCGATCGAGCCTTGCGGTTTCGGCTTCCGGAAGTTCCCTTCTGGGTACCATTTGTGATACGAGGGACAGAAGAGACTTTTTCGCGCGAGTTTCTGGTTGTAACAGTCCTCTTTGGATGATGTTCTTCCTCCTTAGTAGAGTGTGTGTCGGCAGTTTTTGGACTCACTTGGGCCTGCCTTGTGTCAATCTGCGTGTCGACAGATTGAGTTCTGACTGATGTATCCCGACCGCGCTTGCTGAGACACTTTTTTGCGGCATTTACTATTGAGATGGCCTCGGTTAACAGGCTATTCGCATCGAAACAGCACTGTTGACATAGCTATACACACCCATTTTTACTGAACCGCTTGAAAGCTGCAAATGTTAGATTCGTGCAAACATCGTGGTACCAACCTTTGCAATCATCGCACTGCATGCCGCTATCAACAGGATATCGACATCCTGGGCGGTGGCAAATGCTTTTGTTGCATCTTCCAGTCATTTTAGGATGCGAAAGTGAGTGTTGACTACAAGTAGAAAAAACTATAAATAGTTAGGACCAAAGTACTAGCAGACACAGTAGAAAAACAAAGGTACTCTGGAGTACCGACGATAAAACTATTTAGGATACTAGAGATGATACTCTAATAGAATACTTTAACTGAAAGAAATTCAATCAAAGTATAAAAACAGTAGTCTTGATACGTTAATAACGATCAAAACAATAGAATTTACTCAACAAGGAAAAATACCACTGTCCTTTTTAAATGGCGCTGTGATTGTGTCAGTTTGACACCTAGATCGTTATTAAAGACACAGAGTGCCAGTACTAGGTCATCTCGCGTTCTAAGAGGAAGGAAAGTGTAAACACTGCGAAAATTAGAACAACAGATGTAAGAGAACAACGATCTAATTGAATACAATTGTTCGCTTACATATGTTG